TGTGAGATTTTACAGGTGATATTACCATCTGGAAGAAGGAACACATATGCCTCCAAAGGACAATTAGTTACAACTAGATGTATTATGATGGGATTTAAACCTCCCCATTGCTCGAGGGGAGTGAAAAATGTTAGTGAGGAAGGCATTTGAGTGAGAATATACAGGATGAAAAGCAGAAATGTAGGAGCTGCTCTATATACTGGACGAAGACCTAAGCAAAGACTTTTCTATCTGTGCTCCTCCAATCATAGAAGAACAAGAAGACTGTGAATCTGATAGCAATGGAGACATATGGTTGTTCAAAGAAATACAGAATAAAGCATTATAAAGCTAAGAGCATTTTAAAAATAATGTTATAAAGAATCAACTAATCTGACAAAGTACAGCTAGAGTTTTCATCAACATCAACACAGCTCCCTATTTTTCTTCACTCTTACTTTTCAACATGAATTTTTATCAGTTGATTTTGCAGAACTCAATCCCAAAATTGCAACTTCTTAAAAAATTATGACAGCCCCAAATTTTTAAAAATAATAAAAATAGGATTGTTTAATTTTTATCTGATTTTGGAGCAACAAAACTGACATCATTTCATATGAAATTTAAAAAAAAACAACACCTTTCGTATTTCTCCTGTTGAAATGCTCAGCACTGTTAAACATGCAACACAATATAATTTCTTTAAGAAAAAAGATGCCAGACTGAACAGTAGCAGTTATAATCTGAAAGGTCTGTGACAAAACTGCATTTCTGCTACTTTTTGTGCTTAATTGCTTTGTCCCTTTAGATTTTGTTAATAACATTCAACTCAAACGTTAACTGAAACACACACCGAAGTTCAAACCTTAATTGGAAACACTCACCAAAATTGCTTTCAAACAAAACTCAAATATTCAGCATTCTAAAATATAAAAGCTTAGCACCAACTCTGACAATAAAAATCTTGGCAGCTCATGACAGTAACCTTGAAGCCACTGACAATGCTTCCTCCAACCCCAGACCAGGGCATCTCAGATTTTTTTCCCTTTTCTTCTTTCTGTAGGTTGGGCAAGAAAAATGTCACCGAAGAGGCAGAGGGGACATTACACAGCAAAAATGGCAAACTCAACTTTAGCTTGGGAAAAAACAGGGAAAAAAATTAAAACCATAATAAATACATTAACCATAAGCATAAATCTGCTGAATAACGATCTGGCAGATACACAGCAACAAGGTAAAGATACGCTTCTTTGCCTTCCCCCTTTTTACACATAGCAAGAAAGAAAAAATCAGCTGAATTTTCAATTGCACTTAAGCAATATTAGAAAACAAAATCCCAATTTAAGAAACAGTTAAAAATCTTAGGTTTTTATTGAAAATTTGGCTCATTTACTTTTGAGAATTCCAGTGTGCTTAGCAAAATTGTTGGATGTTTCTCTATTTTGAAAGTCTGCCTCTTCTGACCTTCAGCATTCATTATAAACTTCGGAGCCTTCCACATCTAAACACATTTATTGCTTTTGAAAGCAGGACTTGCCCTGTTCTAACAATTATATTTCAGAACTGCAGACACATTCAACAGGGAGCAAGACCATGGACTCAAAGCATAGATGACTACGCTCCAGCTATGCCCTCTTGCCATGCTCTAAAAGGGCTCTGAGAACTCAATCTTGCATGGAGTCCCAACTTAGCTGTCCCAGGAGATAGGCTACTTCCAGCCTGTAAATTTTTTCAGCATTGTCCATCTGTGTTGCCCTGGTAAGTTTTGCTGGTTACAGACATAATTTTAAACAGTGCCTGAGGTATTCTGTAGCTCAGCTTCTACCTGGTCTCTTTTGGATGTAGGATTTATGTCTTTTTTATATTCACCCTAAAGGCTTGAGGGACCTAAGTTACACTAGGCTTGAACTAAAACCTTTTCATATACCTTCCAAAAGAAAACTGAAGAAAAGTCATATTCCTGGCACAAACAGATAAATAGTACTGGCTTCCTATCAGTTCAGGGATCTTTGCAGAATTATGCCTATTTTTAGCAATTCTGACTCTGCCTGTACAATGGGGTAGGTTTTATTTCTTATAAATATTTATCTGAGCATATTTAGTATTCACACTATAATGTTACCTTTACTGACTGAGTACTATTAAGAATATTTGTCCTAATTTTCATCAGCATGTAACACTGCATGGCAGTGTAAGGAAAACTCTCCAGGTGTTGTTTTTTTGCTTGTTTGTTTGGTTTTTTTTGTGGTGACTCCTTTCTCCCTTTCAGGCATCTCTGAAAACTTGTGGTCCTCTTGAAACCTTTGAAACATCAAGAGTAAACCAATTTCTATTTTTTTAACATCAACATTGTAAGCATTTCCCTACAGGGGCTGGGCAGAAGTGTTCAAAAGGCTTGCAGAGATAATCTTTATTTAGGCTATATAATTGATTAGGCAACTTGGCCAAGGTTACTAATAACAGCAGTACTAAATTGCACTGACTTTCTGTAGCGTTGATGTTTCACGGAAAGTCAGGTGTGAACCTGAAGGAATAAAAGTCCATACAGTGACTTTTCTTACTTCATTATTTCTAGTATCTCTGTTGGGAAAAATGCTTAACATGGACCTGGCCAGTAGGGGATGACAGCACATGAGTTGTCACCTAGAGCCTCCAGTGGAGATGCTGGACAGGAACACCTACATCTCCCACGTCAGCAAAGCGTGCAGACTGCTGTTATTCTATATGACCTTCCGTTCCTAACACTGATTGGCAGAAAAGGCTTAATTCAACTTAGACAGAATCCTGTCCAAATCCTAACATCTCCTGATGCACTTCTGCAACCTCTTCAGAAGGCCAGAGGGCCCCAATCCTCAAAGCCGCATCTGACTGCTGGAGATTTCATCCCAATAGGAAGTTCCCTCTCCAGAGCTACAAGCACGTTAAGGTGAGGTCTGCTTGGGCAACATGACTGGCACTGCTGTGTCTTTTATACATGTTTCTCCTAAGTCCTTTATCAGGACTCTTTAGCAAAATCTCTTACCATTATTTGGTCAGATCTAAGTAGTAAGGTATGAAAATTAATGTAATTCTCACTAATATTTAGAAACTGCAAGCTAAGCAGCTGCCACTATTCCTAGTAACTCAAAGTATACAACATGGAAAAAAGTCTTATAATAACATATATTGATTTTGTCACGTTTGAGCTTCCCCCTCCTACCCCCAGGCAACGTATGTTGAGTGTTCTATATTTGTGGGGCTATGTATATGCAGGTTTCATTGCAGCAGCTCAGACTCTTTCCAAACAGATGTGAAAGGAAAGCAATGTAATACAACATGGGACGAAAGCAGCTTCAGATCAGAGTTGGGTTAAGAAAACTCTTGTGGGTAATGCACTAGATGCATTGATGATATGTTTACACAGAGAATCAATACACAGCTGAATTAATGCTTGACTACATTTGTTGAAAATATACTATTATGTAGAAAAATATTACCAAATGCTAAGAATTATGTTAATTAAAGGACAGCGACCAGGTAAGTTTACATTCCATTCATATAATTCATTTTAGCTAAAGATTCTTACTAATACTTTAATAGCTAGCTGAAATAGTTTGAAAAGTGATTAAGAGTTTGAAAAGGGATGTCCTTAAACTACTCTTTGAAATAATTAAATAGCAAGTGATTCCCAGTCCCCAAACATAGGGAGTATTATCCTGAGACTGACAGACTTCCCTACATTTTGCTGTAATTCTTGCAATGCCCAATCAGTAGGGCTTAGCTTAGTCCAAGACTTTGTTCATGACTGAGCCCTAAGGACAGAATTCAGTTCAATTTACTGTCTTAGAAGATAAAGAGTTTATTTTTTTTTACCATTCAGAATAAACATTTTTCAAAACCTTTCATCACCTTTCCCATTATGAAAATAATTATATTCGTATAAAGTAGAAGCAGTTCAGCACATGAAAGCTGCCATGAAATCCTTCATACCTACTTTTTCCTTTAAATTCACTGAGAATGTTAGCTCAAAACATGGTAATAACCACTTCATAATTTTGGGCCTGGTTTAGCAATTATAATAAAAGACAAGTTATGTTAGAAAACCTCTGTGGTTACTTTCAATGCCTACTACTTACAATGCCATCTGCTCAAGAATAACACTTTGGATGTCCATGGCAAGAATCCTTTCTAACCTCAGATATAAGTTCTTCTGCTTCTGAACTTGTACTGATAACAAAAATCTGCAATGCCTTTCCTGTATCATGGAAAAGGAACTTGCAGTTCCGGAAGCCAAGAAATAAGCTCATTTCCCCCCCATATAAAAATAACATGCAGAAGTTGGCAGGAAAACCTAGTTTCTTCCACATTCAATGCTACAGAAAAGTGATTATACTCTGAAACAAATGTGTTATGTCAACTTTCAAAGCAGAGAAGAGATTCTACATGGGAAAAAAATAAATTAAAATCAAACCCAGTCTGTAGATATTTTACGACATTTTATATTCATAAAAGAGGCACCAAAAAAACCCAAAAATCAGTCTTTCCAAATTATTTTTTTCACTCCTAAAGCTATGCAGACTATGTACTGCACCATATAGATTGAAAAACAAAGGCAGGATTCACTTATTTGCCAGATCTTCGATGTGTTTTTCCGAAAGCACCAAAGATTACAAAACACCATGTAAAATTTTGCTTTTCAACAATGTTATGTGACTATTGACTGAATCTAGGACAGCTGGTCTATTGTCTATATTTCTATTCACTTTGACTTTATGTTTTTCAGTTCCTGTACACTTATGCTCATATGAATCTATTTAGCAACAGAGAATGTTACTGAAGCAAAAACTGTAACAACTAACACAAATCCACACTGGTAAAAGTTACTCCAATTTCATTTATGTGTATGAAATCTTCCCAAGCATCACAAGAAAACTGAACACAAAAAGTCAAGATCTGTAAAAAGGATTCCACAAAAACAAATCACAGGAAGCCTAACACTGTCACCTGATTGCACTTAGACAAAAGCACATCAAGCTACGTACCTGTAAATCTGTTGAATGTTTTCAGCTTTGATGTCCTTGAGAATTTCACGGTAGATATGAAGGTTACTTGCTTCGTGAGATGTTGGGGGAGAAAGGCATTTCTTGTGTGCATAATATCCTATTACAATTCCAAAAATAAATAAAATCAAAGCAGTGCAAAATACTTTCAGTATCTGATAGAAATTGCAGCGGTTGCTCTTTGGTGCCTGTCTCGTATAGTGTGAGATGTACTCAGGGTCTTCCTGGAGCCGCTGGAATCTTCCCTTTGGAGAAGATGATGGCTGGATGGGCTCAAGATCAAGGTCAGGGCTCTGTGAGTTTCCTCGGTGATGCTGGATTGCACCATCCAATCGGAAATGATCAAAACCAGGTTCCTCCAGCTCTTTTTCCATGTCCCATTCCAGTTCCAGTGCTGTGGCTTGGAGGTCATCGTTGTCAAGGTACGGGGAGTGCCCCTGTGCTCTCTGGTCTGCATTCACTTTGTGATAGGCCATCTTTTTATCTGTAAAAACAGAAATTTTAAACCCTAAATGCTTGTTTCCTTATGTCTACATAAATCGCCTACTTTTTTTTTTTTTGTAAATCTAGGAGAAATAAGAATATATAATAAAAAGCAAAATCTGGATTCTCAGTATTTCACTCTGTTTCCAGCCTCCTGTCGTCTTCTGTAGGATCAGCAGTCCATGAACATCAAGAAGGTATTTAAAGGAATACAATATAAAGTAATATTATGAATAAAGGGGATTTATAAGTGCCAATGGCAAAACCCAAAAGTTATCCTATTATTTTGTCAGTCCCCAAGATAATATTAAAAACTGACTGAAGGCACAGAGCTTCCAAAACAATTATTTATTACCAGAAAGTAATTTCAAACCGTAACAACTCTATGTATCAATTTCATTTCACCCAAAATAATGCTGTTAAAATAAAGCTGAGAAAGTAGAAATAGTATCACTTGCTTGATCTGATTCTAAACACAAAGAAATGATAAGTGGAGAAAGAAATTTCAGGGTGACACTGTACTTACACATCAATAAAAGGCTTCCACTTAGATGGAGCTTTCTATTATTTATAGCTATTTTAAATGCATAGTTCCTGAATGACTGATGAATTTACTTAGAAACTGTCCCAGCTGTTTTGTTCCACTTATTTTTCCCATTTTAATGAATCAAAAGCACTGCCAGATAATAATTTATATCAAAATAATTTCTTTAATAGCAAGGCATATCTGTGGCACTTCCAGATATTTCTATGGAACCATGAGCCCTCTAAAGGGAACTCTGACCTCCAATACAAACATTCAAAGTCAATTTTCAATAAATCATTTTTAACAGACTGCAACAATAGGGTGCTATTTTCCTCCATACTTTGACCAGAGCTATTTCATCACATCAGCATCTGAAATTTAGGGCTTTTCAAACATCAGACTCACTAATTATAGTTAAATTAAGATAAAGATTAAACTTCTCACAGTGATTGATATCAGACTGACACCTTCAACACTATGTTATCCCTCCATTTTTACATTTAAAGACATTTTCTTTCTCTAAAACTTACCTCCAAATAATGTTACTGAGGCCACATAATAGATGAACCTACTCTAGTGGCAAAGGAGAATTTTGCTTTTTGAAGCTCTCTGAAGAGAGCAAAGGGTTAGAGAGCTTTGATATTGTGACACAGCTTACTGCCCACTGAAAGGCTCTCTTGCTCTATACAATACCAATTTACTGATCCTGCTTCCTTGTACAGTCACATAAATATATCTCCCCTGCAACTGTCAGGCAGTCAAGGAACAGTCAAGACAGCCCATACCTGAGGCAAGCATTTCAAGGGTAGGTACTGCAAACATCAACAAATCACTCTACCTGCAGTCCACATTTTTCTATATGCAGTGAAAGCCACAGAGTTGAGTAAGCTGAACTAAACCACCTTAAATTTGTGTGAAAATCTGCATTCTTTATTTAAATTATAAGAAATGTTAGTCTCTATATTCCAGCTGAATCAAGAAATGCCTTAACCCCTGCCAAGCCATTCTAGCTGAACTTCACAGGACTTTCTGCTAGCCCAGCCCCCAGGTTTGTGAAGGTCCCTCTGAACCGTAGCTCTACAATTTAGCACGTCAGCCTCTTCCCCCACAGCTGTCCATCACCTCACTGCTCCTCAAAGGATCACACTGTCTCCTCATTCAGGTTGATAAGGAAGATATTTAATAATACCAACCTCAGAGCTACTTCTGGATGCAGTAAGCTTCTTACCAAGCACCACCTGGACATCAACTGATTTATTATTCTGTGGAAAATTGAGCTAACTGATTTTCAAACTATTTATCTGCCCTTTCACTCTATCTCCTTCTGCTTTGGTGGTGGAGAGATTAATCTGCAAACCATCTATGACAGAGGTCATTACTAGATAATAACTGCTCAGCAACCTCATCTTTCCAACTCCATTTTATACTGCTTTTATTAGAAATTAAATTAGAAGCAAGGTTTTGTCCCTTAAAAGCAAAATAAATCATTAATATATTCCATAGATATATAAATCTGAGTCTGGAATTACTACAGTCTTCTACCAAAGCATTTTAGACAAGTAAGTTTTTAAGAGATCACTACAATATTACCCAAAGAAGAGGAATTAAGATTTTTTTTTAGATTCAGTTGCACGGTAAATATTAATCTTGCCGAGTTTATAAATGGTGACCATTCCACACCCATGGTAGATAAGTTTTCTCTGTATTTATGATATTTTTTAAAAGTATGTTATTGTTTAAAATTTATTCAAATTTAGTTATAAGTGCATAATAAAAATTCATATGAAATTTCTTTAAATGGTTGTTAATGCATACAAGTAGTAACCACGATCTACAGATTAGTATCTTAGCAATTCAATTTTTGTAAAAACTACAAAAACCAGTTAGATACAGAAAAAACCCAAACGACTAAATGAACTAAAGCAAAAAAATCAATATTCAATTCAGTTTTATATTTGAGACCAGTGTGTGGTGTGTGGGATCTTCTGAGCAATGCACATACTTTAGTTAGTGCAAAGAATGCAAGAGTAACCCCAGTTGGCATCTTCACTTACTCTAGTTAATGCATCAAGTAGTAACCACGATCTACAGATTTGTATCTTTGCAAATTAAATTTTTTAAAAAATACAAAAAACCGTTTGATACAGAAAAAAAACCCAAACGACTAAATGAACTAAAGCAAAAAAATCAATATTCAATTCAGTTTTATATTTGAGACCAGTGTGTGGTGTGTGGGATCTTCTGAGCAATGCACATACTTTAGTTAGTGCAAAGAATGCAAGAGTAACCCCAGTTGGCATCTTCACTTACTCTACTAATATTGCTAAGTGGCTTATTGGAGTGGCAGGACATAGCATAATTTACCACAAAGTATGTGAGATTAGGGCTAGCTGTATATTTAACTATGCCAATAGTGATTTTAGAAAGCAGTCTCCTGGTTCTCAAGGCACAAGTCATTTGTGCTACGTGATCTAGATTAGCAGTTCTATTTAGCACTTTATCGATTGAAAAAGGTGGCATGGTTTAAATATTACATATTAAATATAATCTTCAATAGGAATTAGAAAACTAAAGGAAACACCACAGAGAATAACAAAAAAGACAACAGAAATATGCATAAGCTACAAAGTGAAGAAAAACCACTATGATCCAGAAGTTCAGTCTTCTTATAACACAGATCATAAAATGAACATATTTTTGAAAGACAATTTTGAAAACTTCAGGAGACAGAAAATCCATCCCATCTGCCAACAAGCTGTTTCAACATTTAATTGTTGTTAAAACAATTTTATTTTTTTTTTTTTAGTATAAAGAGAAAAAGAGTAACTGCAAAATGCCAGAAGTCTGAACATGCACTGAGCAAATTTCAACGCTATTTCGTAGGGACAGCAAAGGGGATCATAAATCTGGAATACGGGACAGAGCCAAGCTGATGACCAATAAAGTTGACCTTCATTTCTATCCTTCCACTTATTTGTGGGGAGAGTGTTAATGGATAAGTATCAAATCGGTGCTAACTAGTCTTTCAATTACCTGTACACAAGAAACCAGGCAAGTCAGATTTATCTGATGATTATTGCCTTAACAAGGCCATTTCAAAACTATCTACCCACTCTTTGATCTTAAAAATAACACATTCACATGCTGTCTGATAGGTGTATCTTGTTATGAAACAACCAGGAACTGGTTTTGTGACAGCTTTCCTGCTTGATTCCCTCATCAATGGAGCCTCTGAAAACTATATAATGACTGTGTGAAAGGTGCTGCATCAGTTAAGAACTCTAAGACAGAAAGGTCAACTTATACTAACATTTTATGAAACCAACAAGCAAAGACCAATATGAATATACTACAGTAGCTTCTTTGTGACTGGTGGTGTAGTTGTTAAATGCAGTTCATAAACAGCTGAGACAATTAGCAGGCTGGTTCACAGCAGGAAGAGTGTCAAGTGCTAACGTGCTGCCCATAGCAAAGCGTCTGGGGCCATTTTGTGCTCATTACTGAAAATTCAAGCTTTGCTCTAGCACTGTACTAAAGGCATTGCAGCTCCTTGGTACAGTCACAAAGAAATCCAGAGTTGGTGGTTAATCTCATTTTAAAGGTTCTTTCAAGTTGATTTTCTTCTCAGTATGCTCTATACAGAATGCTTTTTCATTAAGTCTTTGTAATCTTTTGGGCAAACCCCCAAAGCAGATATAATGTCACATGTTTAAAGGGCAAAGAGCTGCACTTATCACAGAAATCAACACCCACTACACAAACACGTCTTCAAAGGAAGGGTATATGACAACAGTTTAGTACTTGGTTAAATGAGATGATGTCAAGTTTCAGGCCTAGACAAATTCCATCAGTTATAAATCCCTGACACAAGTTGTTTGCAGAAGAGATTATGATGCCCTTGTCAACAGCAACATTACAGGACACTGCAATTCAAAAAATAATGTGGTATTTCCATCATCACTTTATTTTCTGCACTTATGATCTCTCCCTACCCTCATGTTGGGGACAGGGGCTAGGCAACCAGCTCAGTTACAGTAAGACAACTTAATTTAGTTCCTTGTCACTCTGCACAACCACCACATAAAACCAAATTACACAAGTCAACAGTTGTTCAGGTTTCACTAGGTGACTCAAGATGAACACAGCCCAAAAAACCAAGCAGTGTTGCAGCAGAAGACATAACAGAGATCATACTTGACAAGGAAGTTGCGTAGAACACAGCTAATCACTGAGTCTAAGTCGTCTCTTCATATAACACTAATAAGCACTTTTGGCATATTTGAACAATGTAGAATATTTAACTTCTCAACAAAATCTCTCACCAATCTCATTATATCATGAACAGCCACGTAGCCCAAGATACAGTTAATACAAAGGAGGATTACATGACAAAAATGGGGGCTATAATACACCTTGGTTTGGGCACAAGGATGGCCAGTTACCATGCCTGTCAGAGCAGTTATCCAATGGGTCAGCCACGTGTGCTGTAATCCCCAGGGTCATAAAAATGTACATAGGTACTTGCATATATATTTGTCAGCTGCCTTTTCAGAACATCTCAAGTCCTGGGGCTGAAAGAAAGGACGGATAGGAAGCTCCTTCTCACGCAGCAGACAACTAGCACATAAAGATGAGGCAGACTCAGCTGGTTTCTCATATGCTGGGCTTGTGCTGCTACCATACACCTCCTGCATCCTCGGACATTTTTAGCTTGCAAATACCTATTTGTCTGAAACAAAACCCAGAAATATTTACTGACCTTACAGTAGCTAACAGCATGGTGAGGTATGCAAAGCCTACCTAGGAGGTTTATTACAACTGCAGCGTAATCAGATCACTAGAAATGGCTGTTACAGAGTCTGTGCATTCCTTGTGGTACGTGTTGTGCTGATGCCTTTGCTTGGCTTCCATTTTTGGAACAGCTTTTCCCTCCAGTTCAGATAGGTTACAGCTCAGTTTTCCAGGTGCTCACTCTTTACCATACTCATTTGCAAACATCAGAGCAATCAGCCCACTCAAAACTGTTATTTGAATGCCTTAATCTTTCTCTTTTCCCATTTCACCTCGTAACGACTACCTGAATACTAACCTAATATTCAGTTTGCCTGCATATATTTTTTCTCTAAATTCAAGGTTCTACCAATAATATGTTTTATATTACATTTCCCCAGACATTACAATTGCCTCTGAAAAAAGACAAACCAACAAAAAAGTAAAAAACAACCCACAAAGCTTTAGGAAAAAAATAGTATAGGAGCATTTGCATTTAAGGTTATAGTTGAATTTTATGTGAAATAAAAATATAAATGGTGTTTAACTTGAACATGCTGACAGTGATAGCTGCAATAACAGGCCCTAGCAATTCCTAAGAAAGTTAATTTTATATGACTCACTTCTGCTTTGGAAATTTTTACATTGTCTTTGGTTTGGCACATTTCAGTCTGTTTTTTTCCAATCTCTTTTTTTCTCATTAGAGTAAATAAATTATTGTAAAAAAAGTAATTTTAACTTTAAAAATTTGGAAACCGTACATTTGCAATCTACTACACTCTAAGAAACTAGGCTAGTGGGAATCTATTTCAAAGAGTGCAAACCAACATTACAAAAATACTTTGTGATTTCAACCCATGTTTAAAAACAAAATCAAAACCCAAACAGGTCACTTTTACAGGTGAGCTACAAACAGGAATGTGGCCTCATAGTGAACACAGATTCCACTCTTTATTTTCAACAATCACTGCCAAAATCTAGCAATGACAATATTAACACATTTCTGCTTGGGGGGAGGAAAAGAAACAAAGAAACACCCTACCTGATGACTCTGGAGCAGCAGGGATACCAGATTATCTAGCCTTAGTTTAGTGCAAAGATAAGAGATGAACATGAGTCAGCCCTGCAATTTCAGTCCATGCCCTGAAAGGATTTGCCCCCTGATGAAAGCATACTGCAGCCAACAGACCTCCAAGCATGAGACATGCTCAGGACCTAAGACCAAGTTTCAGTAAAAATGTAGATTTCAGACAGTCATTTTTTCCTCATTTCTTCTCTAAAAGGAAACCATTTCTTAAATGACTTACAACAGTTTAGGATAGGCCATCTCCAAACAGAATGATCTCACATATATATAAATGACTACATATGAGATCAAGCAATTTTTAAAAAGATAGTATTTTAAAATTGATTATTTTTTTTTATTTTTTATTTTTTTTTAAAGAATAAACACAAAGACAGAGGCTTCCCCGATAAAGCCTGTACATGTGACTGACCTGTGTACAACTTCTGTTCCCACAGAATAGCCCGGGCTCCAGCTGGAGATGGCAAGTGATCTGAGAACCCTGTTTCTATGGCTTCTCTTGAAGAGACCAGAGCTGACAGTGGCACAGGGGAGAGTAAAATGGGACTTAACCTGTGCACCCCCCACCCCCCCCCTGCTGCTCCTGGTGATACACAAGATCAGATGATCTAAACTGGTTTTCAGAGCTTAGGATGAAATTCACAAAATTCTGATTTCAGAAGACAAATCTTCCTATTGCTAAGATTTCACACAGAAATCAGAGATACACAGGACATTTGAAGCTCTAATGTCTCATGTGAAGAGTAATCTTTTTGATAAAACCAGATTTAAAACTATGTATTTCAAATACTGACACACACAAGTAATAGGTTTATGTTATCACCATCCTGTGGTCTAACTTGCTATAGAAATATAGGTCAGTGTGTGTGTGTATATATATTAAAATCCTTATATGAGAGTACATTTTTGTTGTTTTTTTTTCATTTCTTGCTTAGGAGGGTTTTATTGAGTTTTATCAATTTCAACAATGACATGGAGCCCTTAAAATAATATATTATGGAGCAGAAGATGGCAACATTTACAGTTTAGCTTTATTGGAATTTTACTATTTTGATAGATGACAGCTTTAATGATTCTGTGCATGGTTTATAGCAGAAAACAGAGTAAGGCAGTAACATAATTTTCTGCTTTTTTGAACAAGCTGTATCCAAAAAATTCAGAAAACAAGCAAGTTTACTTGGCAATCACACCAAATTTATTTTCTGGGTGAACTCTTGAATGTTAAAGCTCAAGTACACAGAGTGACGTTGCCATGGCAACTGCTACTGCAACCCAAGATGGGAACATGTTTATGAAAGCACATTTCTATACCTCTATACACATGTTGAGGCACACAGACGTGCCAGGCTCCTGTCAGAAGGCAATCGAGCTGGTCACGCGTTATCGGTCCTGACTCTGCTCCTGGCAAGGCAAGGGGACATTCGCTGAAGCCATTAAGCTGCAGCAGCCCAGTCTATGATATATGGAATGCATATAATGTTTCTGCATCTTATGGTCATGAAGCCTTCCAGCCATTACTTCTGTTTCTAGGACCTAAAGAAGGAAACCTTAATTTGCCATAAGAGGTAATCTTAAAAGATTTAGTGTTGCTATAGCTATAGGCAAAGAGTAGAGTGGTAATGTGTTTGGTGTCCTTTGACCCTTATTTTTTGTTGTTTTTCTAAATCTCCAAAATAAGCTGTCAAGTTTGAGAAGTGTCAAGAGTTTGGTCATTTGAGTCTGCCCAGAGGTGTAATTTTGTATGGTGTACAATTCCTGCAAATTTATCACAACATGTTATTTCACACATAGTCAACACGATGTGACATTCAGCATCCTGAATCTGCCTATGTCTACCTACTGAAATGAGTTTACAAGTTCCCTTTAAAAGAAAATCCAAAGTATAGTAGTTCAGGTCAAGAGAGGAATCCTCAGTGGATTCCTGAGGATAAAAATCAAAGGAAGCATCCCCTTCTTTTGCTGCTTGGTCTGCACACCTAGCTGTCAGGCAGTTCTGGTCTTGGCACAGCCTTTCCCCATCAGCCACCACAGAATTCACTGTGGAAGCATCTTAAACTAAAAACTGATTTATACCTTCCGTTGTCTATCACTCACTCTGCAGACACATTTAAGAACTATGATGAAGTAAATCTACTCGTAAAGCTCTATATATCAGTAATATGTGCACTTTTAGTAGCTTTCCAGGAAACTCTTAAACTTTCATGTCAGTCCTTCCGGAATTAAGTCACAAAAAGCAGCTAGATCTGTTGCTGTCTTCAGCCAAGTCCTACCCAACTGCAACCACAGCCCTGGGAAAAGAGACATAGGTGCTTATACTACGGATTTATCTTCAGTCTCTCCTCCAGGGACTCCCAGTCATCACTTAAGGAAACCTCTCAGCCTTGCTGAGACGTATGAAGATGAAGATATTACATTAAATAAACCAGAGAGGTCCATTATCCCAAAGCCTACCTCAGTTCTCAGCTGTCCACCTCAGCCTGTTACAGTCACTTTTGACAGCTACAAGTTGACAGTTAAAATTTGATTTATGCAGAATTAATCACAGACAGCTGTTAGGCTTGGAGTAGTTCTCATTAATACTCTTAGCTTGTATTAAATTACAAAAATCATTTATTAAAAAGTAGACATAATACTACTTGACCACAAATAGAGCAGCCTAAGGGAAGAGCATAGTACATACTTCACGATCTAAAATACACAGATCAGCTGCTTTAGAGGAAAAACTTTTAACCAACCTGCTTGTTACTTCAGAGTAGGCCAGGGTTTGTGCAGAGCTATTAGAGCCCAAATTGTTTACATCATAGTAGTTTACGATTTAGAGACATTAGCAATTGAAGATGAGCAAAGGATGCATCATGACAAGAATGAAGAGAACATATTCAAGCAACATGTAGCTTAGCATACTGAGTTAAAGCAAGCTATAAACTATAACAACTGATGCTTAGAGGTATTTTAGCCCTCTCCATTTAAATCAGAAACTGTGTATGAACAGAAGAACTGATCGTTTGTGCTAATTCAGCTTTATACCATCAGCTGAACATGTGCTGATGATCTTGTGAAATGCTGCACACTGATGTTCAGGTACAAAGCCTTGCACAAGACATGATGTTTGGGAACTTTTCAGCAAAGTAATATTAATCAGAAAAATACAACCTGTGAGGCCCTTAAACAGCAAATGCTACAGAACAGCAGCTGTGAATGACCAGTCACTGAGCATACTTTGCATACCAGCTAACATGTACTATTACTTCCTCTCTCCTTTACAAGGCACCATTAATCCAAAAATACCCCAAAAAACAGCTTTGAGAGAAGACTAAGCCATCTCTTCTCTGCTCTCATCTATAAAACACAACAGTATTCATGTCACAGTAGGATACGTTACAGCTTCATAAAATGATGGGAGGATAAATCAATTACACTAATTCTCTTAATTCTGGCAAGTTATACTGACAAGTTGACAATTCACAGAACCACAGAAATGTTGACTATCAGGAACCTCTGGGGTCACCTGCTCCAACCTCCCACTCAAAGTGGGACTGCGGCCAAGAACAGATCGAGTCACCTCATCCTTAAACTGAAGTCATCAAGCACTGAGAGCTAAAGGGTTCAGTGTGAACACAAATGTATGCTATTTATCTCTTTTTTTCCCCCTGTTCCTGATACATCTGTTTCTTAGCAAAAATAATATCACTATACAAAAATTAGAAACCTCAAACCCATAATAAAACCAGTTGTTAAAATTAATACAGATCACTAAATCCCCCCCAAAATAAAACCAACCAACCAAAAAAAAAAACAAACACCACACGCACACAAAAACCCCCACAACAAACAAAAACC